ATACAGTATGTTTTTTTGTTTTTATATATGCATTTTAAGAATGTATTATAAATGATTATAAACAGACTTATAATTCATCATGGGCATGAGCTTCATATAACTTTTTTCAGTTCTTGAACACAATATGATTTCTTTAACTCTCATATACACCACCTGACAAAGGTCTTGTCGTTGATCCCAGTTGTAAGAGCTACAAATAATAACTTGACGTCTAGTTGATCATTTGGAAAAGTGACAGAAGGTAGATTTTTCTGATGAATCATCTGTTGAACTGCATCCCCATCATCAAAAGTACTGCAGAAAATTATTGGAACCCGCATGGACCCAAGATTCTGACAGATATCAGTCAAGCTTGGTGAAGGAAAAATCATGGTTGAGGGTTGCATTCAGTATGGGGGCGTGCGAGAGATTTGTAGAGTGGATGGAAACATCAACAGCCTGAGGTATCAAGACATTTGTGCTGCCCATTACATTACAAACCACAGGAAAGGGCAAATTCTTCAGTAGGATAGTACTACTTCTCATATACTTCAGCCTCCACATCAAAGTTTCTGAAAGCAAAGAAGGTCAAGGTGCTTCAGGATTGGCCTGACCACCAGTTACCAGACATGAACATTATTGAGCATGTCTGGGGTAAGATGGAGGAGGCATTGAAGATGAATCCAAAGAATCTTGATAAAGTCCTGCAAGAATGCTTTCTTTGCCATTCCAGATGACTTTATTAATAAGTTATTTGAATCATAGCAGAGATGTATGGATGCAGTCCTCCAAGCTCATGGGAGTAGGGTTGTAACGGTATGAATTTTTCACGGTATGATAATCGTCTAAAACAATACCACGGTTTGACGGTTTCGCGGTATACGGTATGTTACAAATGTTACAAAATAATAGAACAGTGAAGCAAATTTGACTTTTTCCAAATAATATATTTTTAGTTACTATAAACAACACCACTTACAATGAACAAATAAAAATAAGAAAATAATAAATAATGTGTCAAAGTCCAAATAAAGTCCAAATAAACATGGTGCAAATCCTCAGTAAAAAATAGATATAAATATTTACTATACTATAAATAGTTACATAACGAAACTAGATTCAATATGGAACATCCTTAGGTTTTATGTGCCAGCATGGATATGGTTGTCTATCGATATGGATTTGGATATGGTTGTCTGCAATGCAGACAAACAGCTGCATCTTCATTTGCGTCTTTTGAAAACAGCAAGAGCAGCAGTTCGTCTTTGCTGTGTCACTGTTTTGTCATGTTTCTGTGCTGCTGTGCATGCAAAAGTACTTAGTATGAGAATTATTTCATGCAAAACTTTTTTTTTTTTTTTTTTTTTTTGCGTTTTATTTAGCCGCGCATAAATGTATGCCTTTCTCTCATTCCGTGTTGTTCAAAAAGCTTGGTCCACAAACAAAAGCGAAACCTATGCTTATTGGTTGTGATATAGCGAGTTTGAACCAATCTGGGCATGGAGGAGGGACAATGCATCAATGTATCATGTCTGATTTGTCCGGAGACACAGTGACGAGCGTTTCTTTGTCAAATCAGCGTTGTCAAATGTTGATGACGTAACCGCACTGATTCCGGAGCCTCTGAAAGTCGCGAATGTAAAAAAAAAAAATAAAATAAAAAATAAAAAAAAAGAAAAAAAGTTGCGAATGTTATGTGATACAGCACTGGAAAGCTGAGATTCTCTTCTTTATGCCAATCTTTGAATTGTATGAATCGGATCAGCGGATCAAAAGTTATTAAACATTTAAGAGCAATACTTATTTTTAGCCGCGGGCGGCTGTCTCGGTCTTTAAGGGTTAAAACCGTTGATATGCAATTGTTCATGGTATGATAATCGTGCACGTTAAAATCGTGGTAAACCGTCATACCGGTATATTGTTACAACCCTACATGGGAGTCATATACAACATTAATTCTCTTTCCACTGCAGCATGACTTTATATTCTATACTGAACTGTATTTCTGTTAAATGACAAGTATTTTGTCTAAGCAAAGTCAGACGTTGCTGTCCTTATAGCATGATCATATTTTATTTTGGGAAAATAAGCTTGTATCTAGTAGCCTTTGCCTTTCATGTAATCCACTTCTGATACCAAATGATCAACTAAATTCCAGTTATTTTTTTTCTGTTCTTAAAACTTGAATAGGCGACAAGACTTGTCAGGTTGTGTAGAGATGCAAGATTTTGATTTATACACCTTAAATATACCAAACATCCCCACATTCTGTGTAATTCTATGTAATACTATGTAATTCTTCAGGTTATTATAGCTGTGTTCTATTTGTGTTTTTCTGCATTGTGCAAATTGTATAATTATGCAGTACTGTACATATTTCTTATCAGGCGATGTACATTCATATGCTCTTGAGTCCTATATAAAAACATGCACCTGTTCATAAAAGCTCAGTCTCTGCCATTTGTTTCAAACCTCTTCACTTTTCCCCCCCAAAAGCCATAACCGCAGGTCTATTGATTCTCATTTGTGGCCTGACTGTGCAAAGCAGCGCTTCTTCTCTGAGGCTAATGCTGCTTCATTGTAGCGGCCGGCCTGTTGGGACCGCATCCTCTCAGTAACAAGTGAATAATGAGAGTGGTTGTTTTTCAAAGTGGAATTAGTTGTTTTTGTTGATACGAGGACCACCGGGAGGTTAATGGAGAAACAGCAGTCCCGGTGGACGTTTGCAGTTCTCCTGCATTATTGATTTGTTTGTTCATTTATTTATGGGAAAGGTCTTGTAAGGCGTTTGCACTTAAATAAAAAAGAGGAGAAATAAAGGAGGGGAAAAGTGTGTTGATATTTAATTCTGGCTGAGCTGACACTAAGCAGCTGTTTAGAAAGCCATAGTCCATATGTTAGTCGTATTCCGCCTACAGCAATTTACAGAGGTACAGCAGCGGCACGTTTCACTCAGGAAAAGAGCTACATAATTTACACAATCACCCTGAAGATAGAGTCGCTTTCTCAACTGCATTATGTGGCGGCTTTCAGATAAAGCCATTTTAGAGAAGGAAATGGGCATTGGTGTTATGAGGAATAGACGGTGCCTTTGGGTCATATAATGATGATAATTTCAAGACGCAATTTTTCTCAAAACCTTCAGGAAAACGAATTTCTGAAACATATTTTTAGGTATTCAGCTAGCAACAATTTGCCTTGTTGGAGAATTTATCATGCGAGATGCATTTTACATTTTTTAAGATGCCCAACACAATGCTTTTATATTTTATGGTATAAAGTATTTTTTATGTGTCTTTTTGGGGCTGCAGGATTTTTTGTTTATCGGCGTAGACGTTTAGTATACTTTTCTCTGGATTAAATGAATGAGTCTATTTTTATTAAACAATCATCAAACTACATTAATTGGGATGAAATTTGCATGAAATGTAATAAACCAGTGACAAGCATTAATAAATGCACTTTATTACCTGACAAAAGTCTTGTCGCCTATCCTAGTTTTAGAAACAACAGATAATAACTTGACTTCTAGTTAATCATTTGGTATCAGAAATTGCTTATATTAAAGGCAAAGGACTCTAGATTACAGTTTACCAAAATAAAATATGATCATGCCTTGATTTTTAATTATTTAATTAGGACAGCAAGGTCGGACTTTGCCTAGTCTCGTCACATAAAGGAAATAGTGTACAGTATAGAATATAAAGTCATGGTGGAGTGAAAAAAAATGTATATTGTGTATGACTCCCATGAGCTTGGAGGACTGCATCCATACATCTCTGCAATGACTTAAATAACTTATTAAGTCACCTGGAATGGAAGCATTCTTGCAGGACTCCCAGAGTTCATCAAGAATTCAAGATTCTTCGGATTCATCTTTAATCTCTGCTGCATCTTACCCTAGAAATTCTCAATATTGTTCATGTCTGGTGACTGGGCTGTCCAAACCTGGAGCACCTTGACCGGCTTTGCTTTCAGGAACTTTGAAGTGGAGGCTAAAGTATGAGAAGGAGCACAATCCTGCTGAAGAATTTGCCCTGTTCTGTGGTTTGTAATGTAAAGGGCAGCACAAATGTCTTGATACTGTACCTTTGGCTGTTGATGTTGCCATCCACTCTGCAGATCTCTCGCACACTCCATACTGAATGTAACCACAAAATCATGCTTTTTCTTCACCAAACTTGACTGCTTTCTGTGAGAATCTTAAGTCCATGCGGGTTCCAATAGGTCTTCTGCAGTACTTGTGATGTTTGGGATGCAGTTCAACAGATGATTCATTGGAAAAATCTACCTTCTGCCAATTTTCCAAATGAGCAACTAGACGTCAAGTTATTAATTATTGATCTTACAATGGGGGTTGACGACAAGACAAAGATACAAATTAAATTTCCAGTATTTTAGTTTTTCTTAAAGTCTAGCAGTATTCAGGCACAAATTACATAATCAAATGTAAAGTAGCACAAAAATGCATGTATTGCTAATGCACATATACATACAATTGATCTTTATTTGTATATTTAGGTTAAAAACATAATTATTTGTACTTAAATTCTTTTGAAGTGGCTTAAAATGCTCACACAGTCACAGTGCTTAAAAACTCATGCAGATGATGATAAACTTATTGGTTAGGTTATGGATAAACTTTGCAATGATGTTTATACAAGTCATTCATGTTTTGAACTCTGACTCATGTGTAATATCTTCTCCACATTGCAGATGTGACTATTGTGGATACACACATTGCGATATCAATGCTGAGACAATATATTGTGCAGTCCTAGTGTCTCTGTTGTAAAAAAAAAATGCAGTATTTATATTTAAGTTTGTTATCTTTCCAAAAAAAATGTATTGTTTGACATGTTTAATTGTAAATTCTGTGAGCTGAAAATAGTATTTTTGCAAGGTAATTGCTGCTGAATAATTGCTTATGGTGCAAATGATTTGTGTTTATAATGTTATTGACCTCAGTTTGTACGGCTGACAGTTTGATTTACTGTAGTTTTGTGTTTTTGTTCTGTTAGGTCTCTTGTTGCAAATCTCGCTGCCGCTAATTGCTACAAGAAAGAGAAACACCTCGATCTGGAGGAGAACTGGAAACTTGTTGAGAAAGCCCAAGTTTACTACATCGCTGTGAGTAGAAAAGTCTCTCTTGACACTTTTGCCTTTTTTGCAGTTTGTCACCATGTGATGCGAAGTGTTAAAGTACTTTTTTTTCCAAGCTGGCAGTTTGATTATTGTTTTCTGAGCCAAGCTTTCATATCGCAGGGGGTGCAACTTTTTGCTGTTGATGAAGATTTTGTTTAGTTGAATGTTTTCTAAATGTGATCTTATGGTAAAAACATTGTCTTCTGCAATATGGAACTTAAATTCCAACCTCTTCACATGTTTCATAAAGTCCTGAAGTGAAGAAACTGCTATTTCATGAGTGGGAGTTAACTCCAATGCCACTTACACTGGTACTGTATTATGCATTTTTTTCATTGACAAATGATGTTAAATAATGCTATTATAAAGGTCACACTTTACAATAAGGTTCATTAGTTAATGCATTTACTAACATGAACAAACAATGAAAAATACATTTACTACTGTATTTGTTCATGTTAGTTAACGTTAGTTAATGAAAATACAGTGGTTCATTGTTAGTTCATGTTAACTCATGGTGCATTAACTAATGTTAACAAGCATGGACTTGGATGTTAATAATGCATTAGTAAATGTTCCATTATGATTAATAAATGCTGTACATTTGTTGTTCATGATTAGTTCATGTTAGTAAATGCATTAACTAATGAACTTTATTGTAAAGTGTTACCATTTTAAACAGGGTCTGAAATGATTTGAACCTGTCCACTTTGAGCCAGATCCAGTTGCTTTCATGATGTAACTTCTCATTAGCATCAGTGCATTAACACAATTACTAAAGACTATGGGTTGTGTACTTAAAGAACATTGTATGTAAATTTAGTTTTTTTAAATCGTAAGTTGGGTTTGAAAGCAAAAATGATTTGGCATAGATAAACAGTTAAATTATAAGTCCTATGCAGTATACATTTATGTTGTACTTTTTGAAAAGTATGTTGTATAATACTTCTCATCTGTATTAACTTTTCTTACTCTCTTTCATTATTACGTTAATAATGACTTTAAAGTTGACTTGTATATAACTGTGTTCAATATATTATTTCTGTATTGTTTAGATATTCTAGACATGAGTCATGTGACCATAGTGTTTAATTGAACTCAAGACACACTTGAACTTGCGTAGGTGCAGTTTTAATGGAATAGCCATGTTAATAATAATAAATTTTTTCAAGTGCCTGGACTAATTTTGCTGTTTATCTTTATGTATCCCTTACCCAAAGAGCACCGACACATAAATTATCCCCCTGAAGCACTTTTTGTTTGATTTTGAAAGTTGCCGTAGATTCACTTATATGGCAATTTCAGACAAAAACTAATAACTCTTTCAATTTTGAAGCGCATAGGTCAATAAATATAGATTATTTGGAATTATTTTGAGCGTAAAAAAACTGAGTGCAAAACAAATAGTTACTTCTGATGTAAGTGAACCAGTGAAAATAACAGTCGTTTATTTCTTATTGGGTTGATAACAATTACAAAAAATAAGCATCTTTTGGTCTATATTGATATACAGTTGAAGTCAGAATTATTAGCCCCCTTTTTAATTTTTGCCCCCAATTTCTGTTAAACGGAGAGATTTTTTCAACACATTTCTAAACATAATAGTTTTAACAACTCATTTCTAATAACTGATTAATTTTATCTTTGCCATGATGACAGTAAATATTATTTTACTAGATATTTTTCAAGACACTTCTATACAGCTTGAAGTGACAGTTAAAGGCTTAACTAGGTTAATTAGGCAAGTTATTGTATAACGATAGTTTGTTTTGCAGACTATCGAAAAAATATAGCTGAAAGGGGCCAATAATTTTGACCTTAAATTATTTTTTATTCTAGCCGAAATAAAACAAATAAGACTTTTTCCAGAAGAAAAAAATATTATCAGACATACTTTGAAAATTTCCTTTCTCTGTTAAACATCATATGGAAAGTCTAAATAATAATTCTGACTTCAACTGTACCTCACCCAATATATTGTGCATAATGTGTAGAACTCAGTGTTCTCTTTCCAATGCTGATTAAAGCACAAACCCACAACGTTTGGCATAGTTTTGTAATAATCAGAGCAGAACCAGAATCTGCTAATCTCCACATTGTTTACATCATCTCTGTTCAAGTTCATAATGTAAATCACATAATGTCTTGCTATTAATAAAACATTAACTGTGTTTAGCCCTTATTAGCTCCTAATTTTCTACTTGTTAATAGTTATTAAGGTAGTAGTTTGGTTTCGGTATTACGTAGGGCTAAGGAACGTAAATTTGATCAACGGACCATGTACTTTATAAGTACAAATAAACAGCCAATCTCCTAATTTAGATAATAACGGTCATTTATTTCTTATTGGGTTGATAACAGTAACAAAAAATAACCATCTTTTGGTCTATAATGATGTAACGCCGGGGAGTGACACTGACAACAGAAGGTAAGATCCAATATGCAGGTTTATTCAGCGTCAGGCAAGCAGTGGTCAAATCAGGTTCGAACAGGTATGTGCAGGCAAATCCAGAATCGTAGTCAATATACAAGCAATAGGTTATAAGGCAGGCGGCTAAACAGGATAACAAGTAATACCAGGCTAGGGTTTACACACTGAGAAACAAAACAGGGAGAAACGCATTGTAATGTCACTGGTACAGCAAACAAGTTTGGCAAACTGGAAGGGTTTATGAGTGGCTTATAAGTGGTATGATATCAGTCTATGACAAGGTTCAGCTGGTTTGTGCAATCAAGCTAGATGAATGAGCAGGCGTGCGTATCTGGGAGAAGTGCATGTATGAATGTGTAGTCCTGGGGAATGCGGAAGTGTAGTCCTGAGAGTTCGTGTGAGAACCAGCGATCTCTGGAGAGCGATCGCTGGTTGTGTGACAAATGATATACAGTTGAAGTCAGAATTATTAGCCCCCCTAATTTTCTGCTTGTTAATAGTTATTTAGGTAGTAGTTAGGTTTCGGTATTAGGTAGGTCTAAGGAACGTAAATTTGATCAACGGACCATGTACTTTATAAGTAAATATAAACAGCCAATCTCCTAATATAGATAAGTAATGAGCCACATGTTAATAGGGAGAATTGGTCGTTTAAACTAAAATTTTACTGCTTATTTTCTAATATTAGTTCAAAAGATCAGATAAGTTGATTAAGTTCCAACTCTCCTGTTAAAGGAGGCAGAAAAATGGTTCAAAAGTAGTCAAAGAAACTGATTAAAACACCAAGTGTAAATAAGAAAGTCTCTTCCTCACCCTACTAGTGATCCAATCAACCAAACCATGTCATAATACAAGGTGTAAACAGGGCACAGTCATTGGCATACATTATTATACTCTCTCACCTGTGAGAGTACAGAGATTTGATTGAGGGTTCTTGAGGGCAGGGTTCTTACAGTCATGGAAAACCTGGCAAAGTCATGGAATTTTGACATGGCCTTTTCCAGGCCTGGAAAATTTTTTGGAAAAACAGAAAAACCCACAAAGTTTTGGAAAAGTCAGGACAGATATCAGATATCAGATAACAGATATCTGCATACTTGAATGTATGTTTTTCTTTTTTTTCCTTGGCCATTCACATACTCTCACATTTTTAGCGCGGTGTAGGCATTATTTAAATTAATTTTACACAGATATAAATTAAAACTAAATAGATTGTTGCGTGTTTTACGATATGCTGTAAAAAAATTTAACATGCATTGCTTTTCTTTTACCATGAATATGCAGACATTGCATGAAACATTAGGTCATGAAAATTTGCTTGAAAGTCTTGGAAAAATCAGTTGTACCCCATATATCTTAAGTCTTTAAGAAAACAAGTTTATCAAAGCACTCGTCTGCTTTGCCAGTCAACTGTGCTGGTTAATTCTGAATCCACATCGCGAGAAGAGAGATGCAAAAAGCCGCCACTTGTAATTACCGGTAATCAAGGTTGGTGTGAAACGAGCGACCCCATTACACTCCGACCTTATTGTTAATGAGCCATTGCAAATGTGATTGGGATGGCTCTTCACGTGGGTCTGTACCTGCTGTAAGCGCCATTCATCGAGGGGAAAGTCTGGCATCTGCGCGGGCTCGGACGTCATTTGTTCAATACCTGTATTGTAGGACTGTGATTAACCTCGAAGCAGAAGTCAGTCTTTGAAGCTCAATTTGGCAGCCATTGTAACGTGACACTCTAATCAAATCATTTTTGTCCCTGATTAAACGTTTTTCATCACACTGTCGTTTGGTGAATGGGAAGCTCGAGGCTATACATGAATATTGAGGAGCCGTCGCGTGTTGACGGCCTTTGTGTTTTCGAACTTGGCTGAATGCACCAATATTCATGGGAAAGTGCCCTGATGGCTCTGCCGTTTCATCGGCTGCTTTTCAGCACTCTTGTTGCATAAGCGTGCAGTCGCACAAGGCGTTCCACCGAACATGGTGATCTGCATCAAACTGTGCCCTTGGATAAATGGCTGTCCTCAACCACAGAGAAAGAAAGTGAGCGAGCAAGCACATTCCAGTGTTTATTGAAAGTCTTGTCCCCGTTTTGTCAGCCCAGGCTTTTCAGTTGTACTTGTTTGACAGCGATCCTGAGGGAGAGGTGATAGTTTCTGTTGTGGATGCCCTGCTTGGTTTGTCCGAGGCTCAAATTTCAGCTGAGATTGGAGTGCTGAGCGTCCCAGCGGGCAGGCTTGTTTTTCCTCCACAGGTCCAAACTGAGCCGTGATAGCAGCTTCTCCAGGTGCTCTGCAGGTCTCTGCTCTGCAGACATGTTTAATGCATTTGGCCGGACTGCACATCCATTCTAGGCCCCATTTTTCTTGTTCTGTGCTCTGTTTCTTGGCCAGAGGCGGCCCCGGTGATGTTCGAGGAGTGTGAGAATTGATTATCCAACCAGAGCAAGTTCATTACTGGAGTAGATCTTCTCTCACCTTAATGGTGTAAGAACCGCTCCTGAATTCTGGCCCTGCTCTCAGAGCGGTCAGAGATGCTCACAGTCCCTGAGGGA